ATATTTTATTATTTTAATCTATTTTCCTCATTCAGTAACCTATTAAATTTCTGTTGTGTTTTATGAATAAGAAACACATTTTTATCAGTCAGTATTTAATACAACTGGCAAAATCAATTGTGAAAATATTTATGATGTGCTTCTGTTTATTAAATTCAGATTATAAAAAAAAATCCATGTTATGAAAAGACCCTCTTGATTCAAGAGAAAACTCTGATTTTTAAGAAAATGGCTTCTTATCAATTAATTTTTAGTCAATCAATAAGATAAACCAACTTCAGGTGTTTGACCAGGTTYCCACATACACAGGAAGAATTCAAAGTTAAAGAGGTCGTCTTTGCTCAACAAACCTTTAATGTATGTTTTTCTTAGGGAGTCATTTGTTTTTTTTAACATATTTTGCACAGAAAGGCATTTTTTWAAATAAAACTGCAGACAAAACATCTGTGTGTTGGTGGGGAGGGGGAATTTTCTTTTAAACYAAAGGGAAGCTCAGCAGAAAAAGTGGTCAGATCATATGAACACGTTGCATGATGGGATTAACACTTGATTTTGTTTCTAATTTCAGTACATCACTCTTGTTCTAAAAGGGCATTTTATGTGATAAAATGTAAATACTGGGTGAAACAAGCACGGCAGATMATTTCGTCATCCCAGTTACACAACTTCAGATACACAAATGCTAACATGCGTAGCATCTGTGTTCACTTCTGCRAGCACAGCGAGCTGCGTGTGAGATTATAAATCTGAACTAAAAATGACACGTGAGCATTATGACCTGTCGGTTCCAGCATCACGGTTCTGAACCGACTGAACCAAGTCATTGTGGCTCAACATCTTAGATGTGAATATCTGATCCGTTTCATGGTAGTTAGACACATCAAATAATAAACTGTTTTATTAAAACTAATTTATACACATATTTAAATACAGCAAAAACAGTGAGTAAAATTTATGTTTGCTTGAATTTTTCTATATTGTAACATTATTTCTTGGCAATAAATCTTATGTTGAAAAGCCTATTAATTGGTGCCACATTTTTTAGGAAAATGCTTCTTAATACTTTAATCATCTAATCCAATAAATGAAACCAAACAAAAGTCAATAACAGAATAAGCTGTTTATTGGCAGAGAAGAATTGGCAGGTTTTTCCAAAGGTTCAATCCACAAACTCAACTCTGCTGCTCAACCTACAAATGCATTTTCCTAACTAATTTGTCACAGTTACGAAGTAAATAAACTCACTGTTCAGCAGTATTAGATTTACTGCAATGAAACATTGTTAAAACAAAGAATCAACCAAACACATTTGTTAAGTGCATTTGATTTGGAAACAGAAAGCACACTTGCTTCCATTATTCAACCGACTTCACGTTGTGTTCATTCAGCAACCCATTGAGTGTGAAATTTAAAAAGTGCTGAAATTAATTCTTAACAGTGTTTGAATGTTGTCGAGTCGCGATGCTGCTGGGAAAATGTCCCCTGATGGATCAAATCATAGCTGTCTGTCAGTTCATATCAGCTTCATCACGACTTGAAAAGCTTTTAAAGAAAAGAAAACTGTTGGATCAATGTGAAATGACCAAAGCTGAGATTTAACCATAAACCTGTCAATTAAACATTTATGAACTGAATCAATCTCCCAGCTGGCAATAAGCACCAAACAAACACTTGAGAGGTTCGACCTAAAGGTAAAATGAATAAAAGATTGTTGTTTTATTACTTCTCGGTGTGCTCTCCACTCTGCAGGTTGAAAAGCAGAGAGGGGACGATCTTGTCCATGTGCTGAGGGTCCCAGATATTCGCCTGCAGCTCATCGTTCACAGTCTTCCTCACCACACCCTGAAGACCCTGAATGCCTGCCATTCGGATCCTGGTGGGAATATTCACACGGAAAAATAAATCACTATAAAATGCTTTGTGTCCCTCTGTGTTTAACTGTTACGCAATCAAAGTTAAACTAAAAAAAAGTCCCTTCTTCTATTTTCAGCACCGATTATTATAACAAGACTGCATAGGAATCTAAAAACAGCAGCTGATCATTTGTCTTCTTACTTGGTGCGGATGTCGGGGTCCTCGTAGCCCGAATGACACATCTCGCTGAAGCGGGACACAAAGAAGTCATAGCTGCGGTGGTACGACGGCGTGTCCTCTTCTATGTTGGCAAACTTGACAAACTGACAAAAAAAGGGCACATTTATTTTAATCTCTAATTGAAAAATGTAAAAAAGGCACAACTTAGGATCTCATTTAGTCTTTAAACTGAAATCTCCTGAATCCAAGTCAAACTGGAACGCCACAACATCTAATTAGAAGTGAAAAATGCAGAGCAGGGTGGGGGGGGGATCTCCCACTGAGCCAGCAAATGTCAGCGAAGTAAACTGGCTGACATTCAGCTTCAAACCACCTTCCGCATAATAAATTATAAATCAGGACTTCTTTAGAGTCAAATTAGATCATGAAAGGATTTCATTAATAGTCAATAAAGCAGTAATAATAGACTCAGTCAAAAACACTGGTTGGTTTGTAAAGCATCACAAAAACCAAAGGGTTTGTGTAGAAAATGAACATGTGAAAAAAATGAAAATAAAAAACCTCCCGTGAGTGTTTTTCCTCACTGTATAAAAACATGAGTGTTTGGAGAGGCTTTGAAAAGGAAAACGAAGCATCCTCGAGTTAATAAAACAGAGCTTATTACAGCTGCTGTGAGGCTGCTAGGCTGCATCAGCAGTTTACTGCTGCTCCTGATTCCTAAAAGGTATCCAGCCAATGGTAATACTGAGCAGCTTCCAGGTATTACTGCATCAACTCTGTGTCTGAGGGAGAAGATGCCACATCGGACTGAAAGCTTTTACGAAAGGAGCTAAAACCCAGAGAGACCAGAGACTACAAGAAGGTTTTTGTTGCATTCACTGGCAACACCAGAAAAAACAGCCTCAAAGACCTCTTCACCACAAAACACTTCCTTTTACTTAGGTTTARGAATAAAACCAAACAAACAATACAGCAGGGCTATTCAACTGGCGGCCCGTGGGCCACATCTGGCCTGCGAGTGACCAAAGTTCRGYCCGCCAATTGGTTCATTCATCTCTTAAGCCCAAACCCCCGGTTTTCTACTTTAATTACTCAAAGTTCTTTTAGTTAAACATAGACATGTTTGGTATCTACAGAAACGTCAGAATCTTGGCTAGAAGCTGGTAAAAACCATTTCTACAAACACCCTAGACAGTTAAAACCACAAGCAGTTGAAGATAAAATGATGAAGGTGAAAATAAAATTGGTTTAAAAATTTGGCAAGTCAGAGATGTCAAAATATTGTTTCTAATAATTGGAGGTATAATGTGTTCTTTTTATTTTTGATAATGTGTAATTATCACTACTTTTATAGGGTTCTGTATGTTGTATTCATGATTACATGCAGCAAAATAAACTAATTCAAAGGTAACATATCTTTGTAATACTTGGTTTATTTGCATAATAACTTTAATTGCTGGATGTTCGGCCCCTCAGCTGTTGATCGGCAGTAACTTTGGCCCCTGGAGCAATTTAGTTGAATAGCCCTGCAATACAGAGAAGTGGAAAATCTAAAGGAACTAGAGATGTGGTGTGMTGACTGCTAAAATTTGATGATAAAGCTGAAACTGAGTTTTCTCAGCTTCTGTCAACTAATTTAAGTTAAACGTATCATAAAGTTAGCTCTAAGATAAATGTAGCTATAAGCTAGCTAAAAGATTTAAAAGACAAGCTAAAAGCTAAATGTAGCACAAAGTTAGGTAAAGCTACATGTACCAAATAATAGCAAATGCCACTAGTAGCACACAGCTAATAAAAAGGTAAACGTAAGAAAATTACACTAAAAATGTTAAAAGATTAGCTAAAAGCTAAGTGTGGCACAAGGCTAGCTATAAGGTACATGTAACTAAAGGCTAGTTAAAAGCTGAATTAAATCAAACAGCAAGCTTAAAGCTAAATGTAGCAAATGCCTAGCTGAAAGTTAAATGAGGCAAAAGGATAGYAAAAGATACAAGTAGAAACAGCCTGGCTAAAAGGTAAACTTGGTAAAGTGCTACTAAAATATTTAAAAGACAAAAAAAAGCTAAGTGTGGCACAAGGCTAACTATAAGATAAATGTAGCAAAAGACTAGGTAAATGTTAAACGTAGCAACAAGCTAGCTAAAAGCTAAAAAYAGCACAAGACTRGGTATAAGTTAWATGTAGCAAAAGGCTAGTTAAAAGCTACAATAAATCAAACGTGTAGCTAAAATGTAAATGTAGTAAACGGCTAGTTTAAAGCTACATGCAGCAAAAGGATAATAAAAGCTACAAGTAGCAAAAGGTGAGTTAAAAGTATCAATAGACTACCTAAAAGCTAAGAGTTGCACAAGGCTAGCTAAAGGCTAAACATAATGAAATGCTGGTAAGTGTCTAAAATAAACACAAAGGACGGTGATGTATTTGGATCACAAAATCTAAAAGAAATCAGGAAAACAACAATGATGAATGATGAATCTGCATTAACACAATTAACTATAACAGCTGCAGTCAAGAAACACCAAACTGTCTTAAACACAAAAGGCTGAAATGTCTCCTCAGTCTGTGTAAGTGACTGAAGAGATTTCAGCTTTTTCAGTTCATTCGATTTCCTTTGTGTCTCTGCTGACCCGTCCAATACTCACCACTCCCTCTTCCCCTCTTGTTGATCCTGAGCTAAACAGTCTAATAGAGCTTCTCTCCAGGTTTACATCTCTTAAATGATGACATCCCTTCATTAAAGTGAAAGCATCCTGTCGGCTTTTGATTAGATAATTCCAGTAAATCCACTCAGATCAGTAGAATTTGATGCAGAAGGAAAGCTTTAAAGCTGATATTTATAGCTGAAGAGATATTTATAGTCGTCTTGGCTGCCGCTATGAAAAGACCAAAGTTACAGATGAATGTATTGTTGGTTTCTTCATCATCTTCTAACAATAAATTAGGTGTGACTGAAACCAAAGAAAAGAAAAATGAGGCCACTTTTTCATGACTATGAGTTTGGAGTTTGGTTAACTTTTTAGGGTAAAAACATAAAATAAGAACTCTCTAAAAATAGACTCACAGAGTTGGTTCCGAGGATCTGCAGGGAGGGTTTGTCGGACTCCAGCAGCTTGCGCACCATCTTTAGAAAGCTCTCCACAAACAGGTTGATGCTCTGGCAGTGGCACGCCATCAGCAGCTGGTCCAAGGCCTCCATGGCAATGCACACATACCTGAACAGGGACCAAAAGAAAGACGCACGGTCGATGTTCTGAGTCGTTAAAAACACCTTCCACAGCATTTAAAACGGGGGGAGAAAAAGACTCCAACTCAGCAGATTCACTGCTGCTGCTGAGTTGTTTATCGTGACACATAAAACACGGAGATGTTTCGAGCACAACCCTGAGCTCTTTAGTGAGTTCTGATCTTGTAGCGAGTTCAGTGATAASAGGATATTATATACCTATTACATCATAGAGCTGAAATTCTTCTCAGAAATGTCCCGTTTAAGCTCAGACGAAGCTAAATATAAACCCGGCAAAAGATTTTAAACATGTGAGCGATGTAAGACAGGGTGGAGGCAGATATAACTGAGTGATGTTACCCATATCGATGTCGGGCCACATCTCTGGACAGCCTCTCGGACAGGTAGGCCCCGATGCGATCCAGCTTCTCAGGAGCTGACAGGGCGTAGAATGTCAGCTTCTCCATGTTGGCTTTGACCAGTCCATCCTTGGAGGGTAGAAGATATAAAAAAAAAGGGGGGGGGGGGGG